GCCTCAAATATGCATGGTGTGAAAGCTTTTGCAACTGCAGTGAACAAGTTTGATGACACTAGGAAGAAGGTGGTCACATAAATGGGTTTTGGAGGGTTATTAAGTATTCCCCTCACTTATGTACCCCAGAAGTTTGTGTACTGGCTGTTGACAAGGGTGATGGCTGATGGTTCCATAACTTTTGGAGATGAGTCTGTGCTTCCTTTGATCCCTGTGCAGGTTGAGTACGTACTTGGGATTCCCATGGGGTCGCAGGAATTGCCGTGTAAGATTCCTGAGGACAAGCAAGCAGAGCATAGCCAAATCTTGGAGAAGTTTGGAAAGAAGGAACACATTTCATTAGTATCTGCTTTGGAGGCACTGATTAGACAGGATGGGGAAGGTAATGTGTTGCCATTGTCGGATGAGGAGGAGGTTGATTTCAAGATAGCCTTTCTCATAGTAGCTCTTGGCTGCATACTGTGTGCTACGGCAAACACAAGCTACCTTGGAGTGAAGCTTGTACCGTCGTTGTTGGTTTACGATGAAGCCAATGAGTATGACTGGTGCACTTATGTATTTAAGTGGATGGTTGCATCAGCGAGGAGTTTCCAAAGGAAATTTGCTCATGATGGATATGTAGCAGGTTGTGGGGGTTGTATCCTTTTTTTGTTGGTGAGTAAATTGTTGGTATTGCCACTACATCAAAGGATTTTTTTAGTAATGTTATCTAATTTTCTACCGTCTCCCTCTTTGTAGATTTTTTATCTAGATCACCTCAGTCGCGTACCAATGAGGTGGGGTGTGAGACCAAGACTGGAGGCATGGTGCAAAGAAAAGATCAATGAGGCGGTTAGCGATGACAAAAAACAATTTGGGGATTTCGGGAAATTGCGGGTTAGTATCAGTTTGACTTACTTTTGATGGGAATACATCCCTGCTGAACCTGTTATGTTTGCTTCAATTTCAGTCGCTGGATGTAGCGTATGGGGAGCCGCATCCGTTGAGTCCTCGGGAGGGTCAAAAGCAAAGGGTGGAAAGCATAGAGGTGCAATGGACTACGCGGGAGGTAGACGCAGAGACTATTACGCAACAGGTATAATCCAAGTCAACGATATTTTCATACGTAGCTCTGTAATGTATAAAAATAAGTGACATGTGCTATGGCAGCTGTTAATAGTTTGTGCTCATGCTTTGTTGAAGGTTTTGGATAAAATAACTCCCGCCATGGTGGCTCTGGTAGATAAAAAAATAGGGACTACGCGGGAGGTAGACGCAGAGAATATTACGCAGCAGGTATAATCCAAGTCAACAATATTTTTATACGTAGCTCTGTAATGTATAAAAATAAGTGACATGTGCTATATATGGCAGATGTTAATAGTTTGTGCTCATGCTTTGTTAAAGGTGTTGGATAAAATAACTCCCGCCATGGTGGCTCTGGTAGATCATAAAATAGCTGACGTTATGAAAGAAATGCATAAGCTGATGTCGCACTGTGTTGACGTCGCTAATGCCTTGGGAGCGAGTAAGGGGGAGGCAATCGAGAGGGAACGGCGAACGGAGAAGGCTGGTGTTGCGCATGAACAACAGGCTGTGTCCAACGTGTTAGGGGATGAATCCAAGGTGACTGGGGTTGACAGCGATCCTCCCTCAGACTTAAATGTCTGTTATTCTGATCATGAAGAGGAAGATGTGAACGTGGACCCTAGACCTGATACTGTTGTATGCTCGCTTGGGACGAGGGGAACGACTTTCTTGGTTGATGCTCGGTGCATATTGGAAAGGTCATCTTCATCTGATGAGGAAGATGAGTCTGCTGATGGGAGCGTGGTGAAACCTACCGAGGCAGCCTTGTCAGCCATGTTCACCAATGTGTCAAACACCCGTCGCCATACAACGTTGGAGACGCGTCTGCTACAGTTTGTTAAAAAGTGGAAGGACCTGAAGGATCCACTTAGGTAATTCAAAAAAGTGTATTTGAGTGTGAAAAGTCTGTTTATTATGCATGCCTTTTGCAAAGTTTTTGTATTAATTGTAAATTCTAATATTTTTATGTGTATACTTGGTGTTATGATGATGGTTCACCACATAGCTGTGGTATGGTGATGATAAAGTGTGATCACATGGATGCCAGCCAGAGGGATTGCTATGAAGTGGTGCATAATAAATCTCGGGTTTCCACTGACTACGTTAGAATGGCCAGTGTGCTATACACCAAGAAATGGGCCACCAAAGATTTTCTGAACAGAAGCAAGCGTTTTTTGCTTGACCCAAGCTTTTCGGTAAGTCATTCGGGGTTCATTTCACCATTGGGGTGACATATTTACGTTCACATTCGATGATTATAATGCTTCTTGTTTTTATTGTCTGGATCGTAGAATCGACTGTTGTTGAACGAAGGCAAGGAAGAGAATATTTGTACGAAGTATGCCAAATCTCTCATTATCTCTAACCTGTCGGATATTCAAGCGGTCAGCAACTTACTCACATAGTCCAATAATATAGCGCAGGTTTAAATGTGTTTTCCATGCATATGCGCTAAAATTGTGCTTACGGCATTGACATTGGCATTTAAACAGGTTTATGTCCCAGTCCTCGAAGTTCCTCAGGATTCCCCTAGAGATTCGCACTGGTGGTGCTTAGCTTTAGACATGAAGGCTCAACAGTTGTGGCTGATAGATTCCATGTACCCTGCCCCGTTCGACACACATGCCAGGGAGATTGATCTTCTGGTACTAATGATGACTTTCATTCTAAAAAAACATGGTATTTATTGGGACCATTTAGTAGTGTGTAGTGTGTTTGTCAAACTACAGCTTAGTGGCTTGGACGTCCTTTTCCACCTCTATGACCCAGCATGGAAGGTTGGTCACCTACAGTCTTGGACCAAATGCACTGTTGAGATTTTAGACCCAAAGGATAAGTAAGAACTTGTGTTCCCTGGTTTGTTTATTGTGCCAATGACTATCTGCCTACCTTTAAGGTCAAGAGAACGTATCTTCAGCTTTCATGTTTATTGTTGTCCTCTAATATGCAGCTCATACTGTGGTGTTCTTATGCTGGCGTGTATTAAGTTCTTTGCCAGAAGATTCACCACGAGGTTTAGTGTGGTAGGTTGTGTATATATCTGTGTTTTGTGTGAAGATCTCTGGAATAGTTGGCTAAAGTGTTTGTTCTGTTCTTATAGCGGAAGATTCCTATTGCTCGGGCAAATATGTTCTTGGACGACGTGCAGTCTGAAGTGAACGAATTGAAAGACTGTCTGGGAGATGCCATTCCAGGGCCTAGGAAAACAGCGCGACGACTGTGATGTGGGGCCTGACAAACAATTTGAACATTGTCATTTACATTCTATTGTCTTTGTAGGAATATGGTGTCTGCTGTTTGAACTTGATCAGTTTGTGTTCTCTGCACTCGATAATATTCTCAATTTTGAGGCGTACTGTATTATGCTTATTTTGCTTCTGTATTTACTGCTGTTATTTTTACATGTTATCATGTTAACACATGAAAATCAGACATACTCAAAGCATCGTCTTTTAAAAAGTACCGTTTTTTGAAATTGACCTCAAGACCTTGAACCGTTGTCTGTATATCTTGAAAAGGATTACAAGACCTTGGACCTTTGTGTGTATATATATTTGTCGCCTTTAAATGATCTCAAACACAAATGTGATGAGTTTAATTACATGTTTCAAATTCTTAACAGTTTTACAAACGGTTGGAACGAGTATGCCCCCGTAATCTGTCTTCATATGCTCAAACAAACAACGAGCGGCCTAGATATTCTCAATCTATATTAGTTCATCAAGACGTTTCTGCTTCACCTGTGAGAGGTGTGATGGGTTAAATGTGAAATAATCACTAAAGTAAAATCACATGAATTTAGTATTCATACTTACATGTAGCTTCCAAGAAGACGTATTTGCCTTCCCCTTCTCCTTTGTTGTCTTCCTAAACACCAGATCCTGCAACACCATTTCCTCCTCAACACCTGCATCCTGCTCCACAACATTTCCTGCCATTCCTGCCTTTTCTTGCCTTCTCCTAAACAACAGATCCTTCAACACCATTTCCTCCTCCGACACACCTGCATCCTGCACAACACCATTTCCTGCATCCTCCTCTTCAACACCATTTCCTGCATCCTCCTCTTCAACACCATTTCCTCCTCAACAACATTTCCTACTTGCTCCTGTATGATTTAGATAGAGATACAACAGCAGTCAGAAAATAATAACATGCTGAGCAGTCAGATTCTTTAAGTATTGAAGAAAGCATAAATCTTAACCGGGCTAGGCTTCTTATTCTTGTTGGTTTTCTTGTAGCCGGTTTCAGCTAACGTCTTGTGCCTTGAACCCTTAGGCCTGCCCCTTTTCCTTTTCTTAATTATAGGGTCTTTGATAACAAGGTCCATGGCAGCTGGACAGGAGTCTACGGCAGTAGCATCAGCAGCAGGATTCCTAACTGAGAAAACGTTCTGCCTTCAGTGGCTGATGACAATGAACTAACTACAGGAACATTTTCCTTACTCTTCTTTTCCGTACGCTCATTAACAGCTAATTGAAGCTTCGATAGTGTTTCAATTACCATATGGACCATTTGATCGTCCACCATGGCAGCGGTTTCACATAAGGGCTCGAGTTTTTTCATCATTTTGTTGAATCTCTTCACATTGACCGTGTCCCCCGAATCATGGTAGGCCACCTTCACCCTACTGTGCTTCCGGGGTATGTCCTTCCTCCAACGGTCTACAATGTACTTCTCTGGTAGATCTTCAACCACGTTTACATCCAAAATTGTAATACAGTGTTTGCAAAGTATGCCACTAGTCTCAAACTTCCTACAGTCACATTGCACCTCCTTTGTCATTTGACAGAAAGTAACATTGTAGGATCTTCGCCTGTTTGTAATGACATCCTCACTCGCACCGGGAGGTACTAACCATACACGATCGACCACCAAATACTGAATAAGCTTTTCAGACAAAACCTTCTCTCCTCGGACGTTGCAATACATCATTCTCGTACACTCCTTTTGAACTTCTTGAAACTTGTTGTCCGTGTATAACTTTTGGAATATTTTTTTTCGACTTTGAATCCACTAACCAACCTCCTAAGGTACTTCGAGCAACACGCATCTGCACTCAGTTCATCTCGAACGCGTTGATCCAAGGCCATGCAATACTTTTGAGGAAACTCATGGAGTTTTGTTTTGCGGTTCACATAGCTGTCAAAAAACTGATTTATGCTCTCCACCCTTTGTGTGGTCTTCATACCGGCCCAAAAAAACTCCTTCATGTACGCAGGCACCCACATATGACTGTCTTTGTGTAGGCTCTTTAGCCATTCATTGTCCTCTAACTTATACTCAGCAATAAACTCTGCCCATCGGGTTTGGAACTCCTCGGGGTCAAAGCTCTCATATACCAGCTCTTTGAGGGGGTTGACGAACTCCTGGTAACTACACAAAAATGATAACAGCAGACCAGCAACAACAGGTTAGCTTGTCTTTATTATGGGAATCAGATTATTACGCCTTTGAAACTAATATCAAGACCTTGGAAATTGTAAAGCCAGAAGGAGGAATTTCACAACATACCGTGCACACTTGCCAAGTTTCTCATGGATCTTGCTCATGATATGCCATATGCACCAACGATGCACCGTGTTTGGCATGACTTCAGCAAGGGGCCTCCGCATAGCTGCCGCTTGGTCGATCAATATGGATTTAGGAGCTTGATTGTTCATGCAAGCTAACCACTGTCGAAATATCCGCGCAAACGTATCGCAGTCTTCATGTGAAACAAAAGCACATCCCAACAACAACGATTTCCCATGGTGGTTCACACCAACAAAGTTCGCAAACAGGAGCTCGTACTCATTCGTTAGGTATGTTGCGTCGAAGCAAACCGCATCACCAAAGTCCTCATAAGCTACCCTACTTCTTGCATCCACCCACAACACATCCTTAAGCCTCCCTTCTTCATTCAAACGTTGAGCATGGAAAAAATTTTGGTTCCCGGTTTGCATTTTGTCAAAGTACTCCATCATTGCCACCGAGTCCCCTCCAACCGCCTAGCCTTGTACACCTCATGTTGTAAATCTTTTAACGTCAGATCCATGTTACCCTTCCGTTCGGTCGCCATGAAACCGTGTATTTGAGAAACTGGTACACCTTGCTCGTACAAATCTGTCAGCGTCTTCTTCGCTTTGCAGGTCATTTGCTTCATGCGGTACTCTTTAACAAGCTTATAATTTGCCGGATCAATCGCGTGATTATGCTTTAGTTCCACGCTCTTCAACTCCCACAAGCCATCTTCGTTAACTTTACCATAAACACGGGCCTGACATTCGCACTTTTTCGAAGTCCTCTTCATACCACTTAATTCATCCGCACATACCACCCCATCAACTAAACCACCTGAACCTCCATGGCTTATTGCCTTTGCCCTCTTCTTCGCTTCCCTCCTAGCCCTCATGTCGGGTTTTCCCCAGCACTCACACTTCCACGTGACTTTGATTTTTTTTGGGTCCACCGTCTTAGAATTTACACCTTGAGCCCTTGTCACTCCAAACCCCGTCTGCTCAGCATAGTCCTTATAGTAGGCTTCAACCTGTTGCCAACACTGGAAAACCATCCCTTCCTTAGACTCCTCAACAACTACAGCTATTTCGTTGCTACCAACCACAGTCATGTCATCTGCACAACTACCTGCAACAACTATGTCTTCTATACCCTCCTCTATATAGACGTTGCCCCGAGACTTAACTCCACTGCCACAATCACCAGGCTCCTCAACAGCTACTGCTATTTCGTTGCTACCAACCACAGTGTGAGTCGTATCAATTGTTTTCACGGGGGATAAAAACCTAACATCCATGTCAAGTGCACAACTACATGCATCATCTATGTCTTTTGTACCCTCCTCCATATGGACGTTACTTCGAAACTTAACTCCACTGCCACAATCACCAACAACAACCTCACTACCCCTTATAACGCTTTCTGTTTCCATTTGCATAATATCAATCTTCTCCAACAACAAAAATTCACCCTTCAAATAAAGAACATCAACATAATTACTACGATACAAATTAATACAAAACGCCAACATAATTATAATATAAAATTCAACACAAATCAACCAAACACGTTTCACATCACACATTCAACCCAACGCAGAAATTCAACCAACCGACACAAATCAACCAACCAATTGAACAACCAACACAACCAATTTTCACATAAACTAACAAATCAACACATGGATTTTTATAAAAACATACGAAGACAACACGTTGTTCTCAAAAAGTAAAAAATTGCATTGTAAACAATATCCTCCGGCCATTTCCGGCAACCTCAACCCCCTTTTTAACAGACAAAAAGGTCCTTAAAATCCTATTGCTTTCAAAATTATTCCGACTTGGTCCAAATTATGAATTCATTTTCATGAATTGTGGGCGCATGACAACTACAGAACAAAACTGAAGACTGCAACAAGCGACGATAACATAGATCAGAAAAATACCTCGTAATTTCGAAGATGTCGGTGGTTATTTCAACTGGGCTTGTACAATTCGTCAATGTGTGAAGAAAAGAGCTAATTCTCCGAACAAGCTCCGTATTTTTTCAACTGGACTTGTACAATTCGGCGATGTGTGAAGAACAACGCTAATTCTCCAAACAAGCTTCTGGGTATGTGAATATTTTCCCGCCAAAACGTGAAGAAGTTAACGCCATCCCTCCAAGTCTCCAACAGATTGACGGAAGGATGTCATAGACAAATCCAAATCAGCAACTTGACACGTAGACGAATCCAGCTCAGCAAGTCAGTAAGTGAAAAACTTCCACTTATTTTTCTGAATTGCCACTGTGAGTAACAAACTTGTTACTGACATTGAGTAACAGGGAATTATCCAGGCAAAAGTGAAAGATAAAGGAGATTTGTATATTTTATAAAAAGGGTAACTATATAATTCCATTCAAAATAAAAAAGGAGAGTTACCTAGTAAAAGGAGAACGATGTTTAGTACAACCCTTTTAAGGTGATGTGAACAAGTCCTAAGTGATAAATTAATTTTTGTTTATCACGTAGTATTTTCATAAATAAATCAACAACTTTTACGTAAATAATAAGCGGTAAATACAAGTTGATCTCGGTGAGTAACGTTTGCAGTTTATCTCTGGGTTATTTCTGTCTTTTTCAACCTATTTGTAGGGCTATATTCGAAAATTACCTACATGGCAGTTAGTGAAGACCAAACGGTCGTGATTTGGTTGACTAACAGTCTTGCAAACAGCTGATAAACAAAACCCTAAGAGTGAGAAGTTGACGAAAAATTGAAATTGAAGGTGGTGGATGATTGAGAAATTGAGGTAATCGCAAAAACTAAAGGTGGTGGATGGTTATAGTGGCAACGATTCTCTCTGTTTGAGAGTGGTGTCGGTGGCATACGCGTTAGACGTCCTTTGCATCGAATTTGATCGCAAACGTGGTGGTATGCTTCTAAGCTTGTCTTTAGTGGATAATTAGTATGTAATTGAATAGCATTGAATTGTATATATTCGTAAGTGTTTGATAATAATTTTTGGTTTTTTTTACTCATTTGCAGACTTTAGATGTAGCATATGGCGAGGTCCAACCAAAGGAAGCCAGAGATACTAATGGACCATACTTTACTAAAGAGGTATTGATTTAACTTTAAAGACTTGTAAATACCTTATTGTATGTACGATAATGGTCATATATATGTCTACTTATTTCATGTTAGCCTACTATCCATCAATTTGTTCAACCTCTTACCCATGGTTATAAATCCAAGAGGAGGTGTGGTGCACCAACAAAGTCATTTCAACAACAACATAATCAAATGTCGTAAGCATGTTGGTGGTAGAAGATCGAATATCATTTTGGATTTGTTTAGTCCTCCTCTTAATAGCACACCACCTTTGTCTGAAGTTATCATATAGGTCGTGAAGTTCCATATATCTGTCATGTTTTGTCCTCTTTTTCAGAGGTTCGTGTTATATCTGGTTCTAAATTGTAAGTTCATTGCATGACTAGTCATTAATTTGAATTATGTTAAACATGTTCTCTAATCAGTATGGCCTGTGATCTTAACAAGGTGTCTCTCTTCAGAATTGTTAACAATTTTAACAAGACTTGTTGGATAGGTTAGTATTATCTAACAACTTTTTATGTATGATATAGATCGATATCAGTTTGGTTAGTTTTGTGGTCGCTTATGATGTGTGTTGATAGTCTCGTAGGTTGTATATGGTTTTGACGTAGCAACAATATACATTTTTGGTGGTTAGTTTAAGGTAATTACATTATTCTATTTATGATGTAGAAGACATAGGTGTTCTTGTTTGCGGGTGGTGTGGAGGGCTTACATTTGATGATGAGTACCTTAAACAAGTTCATGCATTATCCTTTAACTCAATTCATGCCTCTAATGTCAGAGGTACATTATTTTTGTAAAGAAGTCTGTATTTGTTGTTTGTTGGAAACTCTCCTAAACCTGAATTTTAGAATAGATATTTGAGAGAGATTGTCAAGAAAACCCTATTTCAACTAGTACTTGGCTTGTTGCAAAAATAGGACAACCGATGCGTGTTGGTAATGCATCACCATTGATTCATTTAATCTACAGCTATGTAAGTTGATATATGTTGCCTTTTTTTTTTTTTTTTTTTTTTTTTTTGTATAAAACGTACATGACCTTAAGTAACTAGCTAATTAATGGATCTAAGTATCTGTATGCAGGACTGCACCACAAGGCTGGAATACAAGTAATATAGATGAAAAAATCCAGCAGTATCACCAGACTTGCAAATAGTTGTTCAGAATGAGCGGATATTAGAAGCCTAATTCCAGCCTTGAATACAAGTAATATAGATGAAAAAATCCAGCAGTATCATAATTAATTAATGGATCTAAGTATCTGGAATTAGGCTTCTAATATCCGCTCATTCTGAACAACTATTTGCTTGGACTCAATGGCGCATATCCTTTTAGTTTGATAAATTAGGCCCAAACCATTCATCTGTTTTATAAGATGGCCATCCTTATATGAATAATATCGTAGATTTATCTTTTCTTTTTTTATTTTTTGGAAGGGACATCGTGTGAGATTTTGACTTGCAAATTTTGATAAAATGAGGTCATATGCTTAAATATTTTATCAATAATAATATAATTTGAGTAGCATAATTCAAAGGGATGGTTACCTGACTCTTAATACACTATAGTGGGTATTCTATTGTTGTTAGTAGATCTATTTCTTATTAGTTGTTACCAACTCAATATCATAATGAGTTCATATTAAGTTTACGTACAAATAATTTGCTAGGTAAATTGTTGTGTATGATATTTCGAATCGGTTACCTGATTTCGTATATAATACCACTCTTTCCGTATATAGATAAATGAAACATTTTCCATTTTACAATCATGATTAATTAAATTTGAGGTTTTACCTCCTTGTTGTAATTTCTCCTAATAGTATCCACCATGCAACTTTTTTTTTTAAATTTAGTTTTTGTTTTAAAATTGATTACCAAATTTCCCCAACCATCAGCAGTCCTTGTCATTAAATCGGTTGTACTTTACAAATCAAGTATTATATCATTATATTTAAACATTTTCACAAACCACAAAAAGGATAGGAGTGAATGACTAAGGACTATTCCAAATAAGCAACTCATTCGCACCCAATTAGCAATTGTTATGCTCATTTTGGAGAATCACATATTTTTTTTCTGTACGGCTCTTTATTACTTATTTATTATTTAAAGGTTAGCTAATTTTCTATCTAGAATTGTATTATAATACTTATCTACGGTAACATTCATGAGTTTCATACTCTATTTGAATTTCTTATATGATCCTTTATACACTAATGCAATCTGTTTTACTCATTTTTTCCCAAATGACTTTCATACTTCACTAACCTTATCTTGTTGGATGAGAATAATTGAGTTTAGATTGCAATTATTTTTTTTCGTAAATACTGCCTTGTGCTCAGGTTTTATGTTGTTTAAT